GGGGGCGCCGAGGCTGGCGCACCCACGTCCGACGGGACCCGCAGGCCGGGCAGCCCGGCGGGCAGGGGTCGGCCCGAGGCCACTGCCTCGGCTACTCCGAGCAGGAGCCCTGGGCCCCGGAGGCGCCCGGCCTGGGCGGAGGGCGGCTCTCCTCGGACCTCGTGCAGCCTTCGAGGGGACCCCCTGCCGCGGAGTTTGGCCGGAAAAGAGGCGGAGAGCCCTCTCCGGAGCCCAGTGCGGGCCAAGTCCAGCCCGGTCCGGAGTGCATCTGGAGGCAGAGATGTGACGGGTGCCGCCGCTGCGGCAGCCCCAACAGCGCCCAAGGAGGCCCAGGTGTCGTCGGTAAGGGTGATCAGCGCCTGCGGGACGGTCGCCGAGGAGATCGAGGTGCTGGAAATGGTGAGGGAGGACGAGGCGGACCCGGCGTCGCTGGGGCTCTCGGACGCGGAGCAACCGCCGCCCGCCGCTGAGCTGGAGTCCCCGGCCGAGGAGTGCAGCTGGGCCGGGCTCTTTTCCTTCCAGGATCTGCGCGCGGTGCACCAGCAGCTGTGCTCGGTGAACTCGCAGCTGGAGCCATGCCTGCCGGTATTCCCAGAGGAGCCCTCGGGCATGTGGACAGTGTTGTTCGGGGGCGCACCAGAGATGACCGAGCAGGAGATCGACACTCTGTGTTATCAGCTCCAGGTCTACCTGGGCCACGGCCTGGACACCTGCGGCTGGAAGATCCTCTCCCAGGTACTCTTCACCGAGACCGACGACCCGGAGGAGTACTACGAAAGCCTTAGCGAGCTGCGGCAGAAGGGCTATGAAGAAGTGCTTCAGCGGGCCAGGAAGCGCATCCAGGAGGTAAGGACCTAGTCTGGGCTCCAGTCATCGCTTTAGGTTACTCAACTGCCAAAGGCTGGAGCCTCGGTCTAGGCTGCGCGCTTTTGGGGCACTTGTTTTTCTAGACAAGAGAAAAGTAAGACGATGGGTTCCTGACCTGTCTCCCCTTTCATTCCTCTTTGGTAGGAAAACCGTGGCTTTCCTTAATCTGCCCTCTGAAGGAACTTTGATAAGTCTTTAGATTTCGGCACCCCACTTATCACATAGATTCTATACAGTGTAGTGCTTTGTTTACTACTAAGTACTGATAAGATTAAAGCCACTTAGCAGAAAGATATCCTGTAAATAAATAAAAACTGAGTGAGCTTTCTCGTTACCCCTCCTAAAGCTCTTTCTAGCGATAATTGCCCAGATTATTAACCGTACTTTCTTGATGTCATGTTCATTTATTCAGAATGGTTTGTCTTAGGGAGGAAAGTTGGTCAGTTTTTTAACTCCTTATGTAATTTGGCAACTTAGGCAAATTTTAAAATCATTTTTCTGCAGATTAGTGACCTGTCCAAAGAAAAAAGTCCCTCCTGGCAATTGGATGCAAATAGACTGAAAGGTTTTATACACAGTTTAGGAATACCTTAAGTCTTTAAGGAGGGCTCATGTTCAACTCCTGTTTTAGGGAGAAAAAAGGCCCTGGTTAGGAATGTTCATTATACTTTGTACTTTAGAGGTAAAAGCAGTGCAAAAGCTTTTTCAAAGGAATCCTTAAAATTACAGGAAACATCGGGAAAAGGTCTGAATGATTATACATAGGGAGCCCTACGTGTGTATAATTTGAGGTCCATGCCTATTGAACAGCTTCTGCGGAAAGAACTACTAAAAAGCATTTTAAAATATACTTAGTTTCCCCTAATGGGACACTAACAGATAACTTTCTCAAAGCAATTTATAATCTTTAGTATTAGTACTGAGGTTGGAGTTGGTGGGAAATGCCCCTTTTTATGGTGTTTGTATTCCTGACATTGTGTTATGATCTGTCAACCTTGCCTATGTTTATGTAATACTTGAATCCTACTATTAATGCTAAGAAGCTGGAACCTCCTGGTTGCTTCTTGGAATATTACATATTTTTCTTTGTGAGACGTCAGGATTTAGGAAATAATTCTTGTTCACTTATCCCACTGTGCTCTCTTACAACTTAACTGATTCCAGGTTTTCACTCCTTCCTATTAGTTTACTTTATGCTAACTAAACATCATCCATCATAATGTGATCCTAGAGTTCCTGGGGTCTGTTTTTATTTCCCTTTTCATCATTTCACTTCTGGAGTCTGTGTTCTACCTTAAATCCTTTTGGGAAGGAAGTGACAAATCTTAAATGGTCACATTCTCTTTAGAGTTTTGTTAATAGCGACCTGCATGTTTTTTAAACTGAAAAGACAAAGTTTGTACTTCTTTCTCTTCATTTTACAGATATGTATTATCCCCTTTCTTTTTCTTTTATTCACGTTATGTTTTTTAGTCCCTAAATGATATAGGCATGTCTTGTTTTGATTTTACTGATACTCAGAAAAAATAATTTTATCTGATTTTTTAAAATTCAAATTGGGTCAAAGGGCTGCTGAAACGTAGAATTATAGTTTTCTTGAACTCATGTACATTTAAAATATATATATTTTTTTCCTAATTAAGGTAATAGTGACCATAATGTTTTATTCTCTTTAACAGAGAAAAATTTGAACTTTCAAAGTGTACTTTGTTTGGGAAACAGCTCAATAAATGAAGTGTATTATAAATTCATTGAACATTAAATACGTAACTTTTTGGTGCTTCACTTAGTTGACTTGAGCAGTATTTGAAAAAGCTATCAAGGACAACAAATAGGTTTAGTTATAATGCCCACCCTACTACTGGAAGGTTATTTTGAAAGAAATTACGAGGCTCAGGGGGGAAGGATTGCATGATTAATTAGTGATGTCTGCCATGGGCGTGACAATGAGAGTGTATAGCACACCAGTCTATTTGTTTTCCTTCCTCCTCTGCTTAATTTTTTGCTACCTTAATAGTTTACAGTAACTTTTTTTTACGTAGTCTTTGTAGAAGAATTTTTGCATAATTGATTCTATTGTTAGTAATTGTCTAATTCAGTTTTTTTTTCTTTCAATTCCTAGTTCTCAACTTGACTTGTGGAATTGGCTATAGGTTTTAAAGCTAGGTATGTCTGGTAAATGCAGAAAATCTAATCCTTTGGTCATATTTTTCCTTTTAATTTCTCTGAATCTTTTTTCTGGTTCTTTTTCCTACAGTATTCCTTTTCCTATTAATGTAAAGTTTTCAATTTAAACACCACACCTAATTGGTATTCAGAATGGTCACTAAATTGTTGAAGGATTTTTTTTTTAATAGAACAAACTGTACAGCTAGATTGTAAACTTCTCAAGGTCCCTGGCCTTGACAGTATCTTGGAGTTTTCTTCTTTGCTACCCTAGTTCAGGGCCACACATCATGTGAGCACTCTTAGTAATAGTGGACAAAGAACACTGGTGTGTTTGTTTGTTTGTTTAGTATTGCAGGAATTTAAAAATATGGGGAAAGTGCCATTTTAATGTAAAATTGTGAGTAAATAAAAATTTGTAAGTTGCTAAATGTAAATTCCTCAAGGGACTGTGCTGTTTAAAATACTTAACTTCATAATAAGGAGTTGTTATCTGGGGTTTTGGGTGAATTTCCTGTAAATTGAGGGGAGCTATAGATGGCGTTTAACAGAGTACCTTAAGTAGCATGCATAGTTTTATAGCATAGGCATATTTGCAGTTTTGGAAAGAAAGACTTAAAGATGTTCTTCAAAAAGAGCCCTAAAACCACAATTATAAATGACCTGCTTTGTAAGTTTAGCATGTAACCTCTATTGGAGTTTGATTTTTGGGATACCTTTATGATTTAATAGAGGGCTATAAAAAGTACTCCTATATCTGTCTTGTGGAGTATTGAAGAATTAAACCTTAAGTTTTCTGCTAAAAGTTGTTGTTAATGGTTCACAAATTTGGTCAATTGATTAGTTTGTGAGGAACTACAATTTATACAATACTAATGAGGAATTATTTTTAGGTGACATAAGAATTGTAGATCGTATACTACTTAGGGTCTCAATCTGAGTACAAAGGAAATGTAAAATTTATTACATGGTAGGCTTGTCTTGGACTTTTACAAGGGTTTACTGTAAGTAGTGCTATTTATATAGCAAGCGCTCAATGCCTGAATGAATCAAGTGCCACCAAGGCCTCTTGGAATGGTTTCAGCAGTAGCCTTGGTTGTTGGTCAGAACTGAGGATTGTATTACAGTGTGTGTGTATGGGTGGCCCATACTGTGGCTTACCTTTGATGACCTGGATTTTGTAAATAATGGTTTCAGTATATGGACAGCTATTGAAATGGTTGTGGGCCTTTCGATGGTAAACCTTAACTGTGATGATAAGCTTGATTAAAATCTAAAAATCAGTGTTCACTTTGAAATTTATTGTTTATAAAACTGCCCAATTCTAACTGCTTTCCAGTTGAAACCACTCAGAAGTATGTGTTTTCAAAAGTAACCTTGTAAGGCACACAGTAGACAGAGCTTACCTTGTATTTGGAGTCGGAAAGACCGGGGTTTGAATTAGCACTCACCACTTCTGTGACTTGTTTAGTTATTTAACCTCTTTAAAGTAGAGAAATGGGGAAAATACTTAAAGGATGTCTGAAGGGTTAAGTAAGACATTATGAAAATACCTAACAAGTGTTTGGCATTTAAAAGGGAGGCTTTCAGGCAGTGTTGTTTCAAGGGAATGTAAACATTGGCACTACTTAGGTATTGTGCGCTTCACAGTACCTCTATCCTTTCATCCTCCACACTATCTTTTGAGACAAGTAGTGTTTTATACATATTTTACTGAAGCAGAATTTGAGACTTAAAGATGTTATGTGAGGGGGGAGGGTATAGCTCAGTGATAGAGTGCATGCCTAACATGCAGGAGGTCCTGGGTTCAATTCACAGTACCTCCAATTAAAAATAAATAAATCTAGTTACCTCCTCCCTAGAAAAAGATGTTATGTGAATTTGGCCAACATTAAACAGCTAAGGAGTAACTGAACTCAGAGTCAAACTTAATTTGTCCTAATCCAGGCATGTGTTTTTTTCTGCCATGCCTTGTTTCCCTGATAACATTAGAAAGGATGTCATTCTCCACTCCTGAGATTGGGAGGGTGGCATCAGTATTTAAAAATCTAGTCAGTTCCGTAATGAACTTTTAAATTTAAGGTAACTCGTTTGTTTTATATCAAATTAATAAAGATAGGCATAGTGCAGGGCAGAGTCCACAACTTGTGTTTTAGAAGAAATAGGTTGCTTAGGTGCAAGGATGGGTTTATGTTAGACAGGAGTGCCTAATCACTGTTTTCCTTTGTAGTTTAAAATGACTTGGCTGTAAACAACTCCTGACTTGAGTTGTTTTTTACAGAAGGGGCAAGGAGTTCTATGAAGTTTGTTTACTTATCACCCCTCCCAATTATGACTTTACTAATTTTCCTGGAAAATTAAATTTAGGTATAAAGCTCTGGAGCACTGCTGAAACACCAACTACAGTCCCAACTTAAGGTGATTGAGCTTTTTGATGATGTGAAAGTGATCCGCCTTCAGCAGGAGCCATACTTGAACTTTTGATCTTTTCCAGGGTACCATACTCTCTTGTGATGCTGGGCAGCAAGCCACAGCTCCCAGTCAGCCACGCGATCATGATTCTGTGCCCATACAACCCTTCCATTTTCATTTTCAGTACAGTATTCAATTACATGAGATACTCATCACACTTTATTATAAAACAGACTTTGTGTTAGATGATTTTTGCCCAACTGTAGGCTAATGTGAGTGTTTTGAGCACATTTAAGGTAGGCTAGGCTAAGCTATAATGTTCAGTGGTTAGATGTATTAAATGCAGTTCTGACTTAGAATATTTTCAACTTACTATGAGTTTATCTTGGGCAATAACCCCA